CCGTCTCATGGCCCAGGCTCGTCGTCGCCGTCGCCCAGTCTCCTCCTCCTCCTCCTCCTCCTCCTCCTCCTCCTCCTCCTCCTCCTCCTCCCCCTCCTCCTCAATTTGCTGCCAGGTGTGGGGGGGGTCCAGAGTGTGGTGTGGGGACCAGAGCGGATCGCGAGGATGTCCCGAGCGGGGCGCTGGGAGAACGTGGAGGACGATGGGGCGGAGGAGGAGGACGAAGGGGAGGAGAAGGAGGAGGAGGAGGAGGAGGAGGAAAAGGAGGAGGAGGGCATCAACGATGTAACAACACATCCTCCTTCCAAGGTCCCTCGTCACAAGTCATTATAAGAATTTGGGCTCATTGCGGAGAGTGCCCCATTGAAGACAACTGCTTGGGCATCCCCACTCGTGCCAAGACACGATTCCTGGGACGTCAACGTCGCGAAACAATGTGACTGCTGCGTCTTGACATGCCTAAATCGTACCAGAACGCCCTTTCTGGGACTTCAGCGCCGCGAAACAACGCGAATGGTGTGTCCTGACAATCCTAAATTGTGCCAGGGCACCACTCCTGGGACTCAATCGTTCGAATCCGTTTAACGACTGCAATGTTTTAAGACGAATGTGCGCGGCGCTGGGATGAGAACAACATGTTGAAAAGGAGCCGCCCTCCGCATTTGATATTGCTGCAAACTTGAAAGAACGAATGTGCACGGCGCTAAGGCGAGAATCACACTTTGAACATCATCCTCCCTCCACCCTTGAAACTGTTCACGAGCTCAACAATAATATGCGCGGCGCTAAAGCGGAAACAACATTTCGAACACGTCCCGCCCTCCATCCGTGACGCTGCCCCAATTTTCTAGTCTTCAGGATCAGGCTTGGTGAAGGAGTCTCAGGCGAAACGCAAGGACCGCCCTACCGACACGTCTGGGGGTGCGACAGGGGGAGTTGTTTCTTAGAAAGAAGGTATGCCGGGGGAGGAGGAGTCGGATGAGAATGCTCTCATCCTCCTCCTCCTCCTCCTCTTCCCCCTCTTCCTCTTCCTCCCTCCTTTTTCTCATCCGCTTCTCCATTTCCATCCCCCGCTCTTCTCACCCTCCTCCACCTCATCCTCCTCTTCTTCATCCTCCTCGCTCACCTCCTCACTTCTCTCCTCGCCCTCATCCCCCTCTTCTCACCCTCCTCCGCCTCATCCCCCTCGTCCTCGTCCTCCTCGCTCGCCGCCTCACTCCTCTCCTCACTCCTCATCCCCCTCTTCTAACCCTCCTCCGCCTCATCCTCCTCGTCCTCGTCCTCCTCGCTCACCTCCTCACTCCCCTCCTCGCCCTCACCCGCCTCATCCACCGCTTCCCTCTCCTCCTGACGCAGATCGTGAGGGTGTCCAGGGCGAGGCGAGGCTCGGGCCTCAGCAGCCCCACGGGGGGCCCCCTTATACGGGTATACGCCCAGATACTCACAGACAAACGCTCTCAACGAGACCTGCCAGGAGCACGAGGTACAACTATATAGGGATCTCCGCGTCGCTCTCAGCGAGACCTGCCAGGAGCACGAGGTACAACTCTATGGGGATCTCCGCGCCGAGTACTTTCCACGACGCGACGGAGTCAGGGTGCGGCGCGCCCCTAGGCGCCTCCGCGCCGAGGCCCCCGTGCGACTCGGGGCGGGCGCGCTGGCCCCCCGTAAAACAGATAGCAGCTCGTAGAAGAAACATTACCCCGGTGCGACCCTACCTAGAAGTTGGAGCCCCTAGGAAAGCAGCGTTAGTTGCTATGCTATGCTATGCTATGCCATGATATGCTGCGCTATGCTATGCTATGCCATGCTATACCATGCTGCGCTATGTTATGCTATGCTATGATATGCTATGCTATGCTATGCTATGCTATGCTATGCTATGCTATGTCATGCTGCGCTGTGCTATGCTAACCTATGCTATGCTATGATATGCTAAACTGCGCTATGCTATGCTATGATATGATGTGCTATGCTATGCTGCGCTGTGCTATGATGTGGTTAGCTATAGTATGCTATGCTATGCTATGCTATGCTATGCGATGCTATGCTAATGCAGCGCTGCGCTATGCTATGCTAGGCTAAGCTAATCCTCTAGGCAGAGCCTAGGTAGGGAATTACACCCATGCTAAGCTAAAGCTCAGCGAAGCTAAGGTGAAGGTAAGCTAAGCTAAGATAAACCTGAGCTAAGATGAAGCTAAGCTAAGCTAAGATGAAATAAGCTAAGCTAAGATGAGATAAGCAACGCTAAGCTAAGGGGACGTAACTGGGGGAACCGCGGGGCGGATGCTGGGGGAACCGCCCGGGGCGGGTCGCACTGCCCGGCCCCTTTAAGCTAACAGAGTAAGAACCCTTCTAGGCAGAGCCTAGGTAGGGAACAACGGCACTGCGTAAACATAAACTTTCGACAGTCCGCGCGGATTCCTTGGACCTGCGCTGGACCCCCCTCCTTGTCGCACGGATCTCGCCAGGGCGGCGCCAGAAGCGCCGCCAGGGGGGTCCAACGCCAACCACATAAATCCGCGCGGAGATCCGGAAGTTTATGGTCAGGGGCACAATGGCCCACAGATTTTGAATGTGTATGTTTAGTTGTTCCAGTGTTCGTTGCTTCCTTTTCGACTGGTGCAAATGGGATGGCGCAGGACACCATGTGAATGGACCTGGAGACTTACTAGCTGAGCAGGCGAATGCCATCGCCATCACCCCTCCCCGTCCTCCATCTCCTCCTCGCCTCGTGCCGCTTCTGGTCCTGCTACTCCTCAACTTGTCCCTTTCCCTCTCCCGCCCCTCTCCCTCCCCTGTCCCCCCTCCTCCCTCTGGCTGCTCTTATGACGTTGCATGTCTCCTATCCTCTCCCTGCTCCTCCTAGTCATCGCCGTTGTCCTCTTGCTCCTCCTCCACCACTTCTTATCGTCTGTCTTATGTGTCTTATCCCTTTATTCGTAGTAGGATTACGAATATTTTCGCTCCTGAGTAGTTATCGTCATGCTTTTTATTTGCATAGCCCTTCATAGTATGCTTGTTGTTGTTAGGAATATCCCTACTATTAATAATGTTGTTCTTGGTGCTGCTATATCACTATTACTCGTACGCTTCGCATTCTAAGTCTTATTGTATGGTTACTATTATTAGTATGACCGAACTCAGTATGTGACGAATCGTATTACTATGTTATAAGACTGCTCTTATCATTCGTAAGACGATTGGTTCATTCCAAATGTTGTGATAATTAGTCGTTGTAAATTATTCGTTTTCGCATCACTTGCATATCCCGTATTATTCAACTTAATGTTCTTAATGTGAGTAACGTTGCTAATCGAATTGCTATTATTAGTTCATTCGTAGTAGTAATCGTACTATCCTTCTCAATGTCGCTACTACTTATTATCTTAAGTCTCATACATTGTCGTGTGATTCATCATCCACCTTCTCCTCCCGCTGCCCTCTCACTTTGTCCTTACTCCTCATATTTGCCCTTTCCTCCCTCCCCGCCCCTCGCCTTCCTCACTCCTAACCATCAGCCTCCTCCTGCGTCTATTCCCCCGTCATCCTCCCTTCTCCTTCTCCTCCCCAATCCGTTCTCCTCCGTCCTGCTACCCCACCTCCTTCCCCCTCCCCATCCCTCTCGCTCCCCCCCCCCTGCTGGCTCCTTCCTCCTCTCCCTCCCCCTCCTCCTCCTCCTCTTCCTCCTCCTCCTCCTCCTCCTCCTCTTCCACCTCCTCCTCCTCTTCCTCCTCCTCTTCCTCCTCCTCCCTACTCCTTGCTTCTCCTCCCTCTTCCTTCTTCCTCCTCCCCCCGCTCCTTCCTCCTCCTCATCCTTCCTCCTCCTCTCCTCCTCCCTCCTCCTCCTCCTCCTCCTCCTCCTCCTCCTCCCTCCTCCCAGCAGGTCGACGCCGACGACACCGCCGACGCCGGCGGCCCGACATTGGCGGCCGACGGCGACGGGGGGCGGCGGCCGGCGGTGGGGGGCAGCGCCCGGCTTCCGCGGCCGCCCAGGTTCGTCGAGGAGCTCCCAGAGGGCGGCCTGGGCACCAGGCAGCCAATGCGCGCGCGCACGCCGCTGGAGGGCCTCCTCGGAGGCCGGTGCGCCTCCCCGTCTCGCTTCCTCCTCGCCCTCCTCCTCCTCCCCCCCACTCCCCTGGCCTTCCAGGAGGGCAGTAAGAATTAGCGCCAGGGCGTCGACGTCGAACAAAGCTGGTCGAGGTTTGCGGCAGTGCGGATGGGTCTATAGGTTCTGGAGTGCTGTTTTCTAGCGCTCTTTCTGGCACTCAGGAAGGTCAGGTTCTTCCTCCTTCCCCTGCCTCTCCTCCAGAGGGCAGGAGGGGCACCCTTCCCTCAAAATAGACCCCCCTGCCCGCGAGGCTCTCCAGTGCCCCCCCCCCGAAGGAGGGAATCGGACGGGGCAGGACTGTGTAGCGAACGCCCAGCACTGTTCAGCAAACGCCACTGACGGGGGTCGGGTTGCTCCCTCCCTCAGGACCTCTTTCCTTCGTGGCGACCGTTGTTTCAGGCCGTGCAGGACTGACTTCATGGGCCCGAAGGGGGGGAGGAGGCGACCATGGCGAGGCCAAGCTCGTCTGTCACTAGACGCCGGCTTTTTTCATAATGCTTGCCCCTGGGAGCCCGTGTCGAGCCCTGTGGAAGTGCAAAAACTCTCCGGAATGATGAGCCGGTTCTTCTGGTGTGGCGGAGAGGTCTGGGAGCTCGCGTTACCAAATAAAAAACCCGACATCGAATGTCTGGGGGACGCGCGGGTATGGGGCTGTGCACATGCAGCCCTTTGTGGTGGTCCCACCTGGCCTCAACGGGCCGCAGGGCATAGCCCAGGGCAGTCTCAACACCCCAAAGGGGCGCCGACTGCCTCCTCGGCCCACCCCTGCGGGCCTGCTGAGGCTGGGCGGAGCCCACCTCTGCTGGGGGCCTGTCTCTGTGCGCACCCCCGAGGTCTTGCAAGGAAGCAACAACAGTGCAACAGAGGGAGTCCACAGGCACTGCCTTTTCAACACCAAGCGCTCCATGGACTACCACGCCGACATCGCTTTTGTGTTGTACTCTCAAAAGCCCTGGCGGAGAAGTCAGAGTATTCCAGAATAAGCCGTATTCATGCCCCAGGGCATAGCTCCGCTACGAACTCCATCCCCGCTCCAACGAAGGCCGCCTCAGCGGAGCGCCGAGCCGCAGACGCTGCCCCTTTTGGGGCGCGACGGCGTGACGCTAGGCATAGCGATGTGAAAGCCACTTGCGTGCAGTGGACGCGTCAGGCATGGCCCAATATTCTCAGCGCCTGCTGCTGCTGGCCCGCTGACCAGAAGCTGCCGCCGGCCACCCTCTCGGACTGCCCGCGCCGGGGAGACCCGGCACCACCGGAGCCCCTCGGGGCAGCCTCCTCTCTCTCCGTCACGAACTGGGCCCACTCGTCCTCCATCACCGTGGTCTCCCCAGTGTCCAGGTTGTGGACCATGAACGGCAGCACGTTGCCCTGGAGTGCTTTCTCTTCGCGGCCGGGCCGCCCGAGGGCCTGCGGCATGAAGTCGTCGGCGCCGCCTTCACCTTCGAGCAGGCGCCGCTCCGGCACAGGGTCGGGCCGACGGCGCACGCGCCAGCTCGTGTGGCCAGTGTCCAGGTTCTTCTCGGCCGCCAGCTCCACTTCGTCAGCGCCGCCCGAGGCGTAGGCGGCCTCCAGGTCGGACAGCATCCGGTGGGTGACCTGGAAGCCCGACGCAACGCAGAGCAGCCTCTCGGCCTCGAACTTCCGCGCGCGCGCGAAGCGCTTCAGGAACGTCAGCACCTCGCAGCCGTCGAAGGCCAAGAGCGAATCCTGGACTTCGTAGAGCAACGCCAGGCCCACCTTCAGCCACGCGGTGAGGGGGGTGGGGGGGGGGCTTCTTAGAAGCACCCCTGCTTCTAAGAAACCCTCCCCCCTCCCTCCACCCCCTTGTGCGCGCCGCCAGCACCTGCGCAATCACCTCCCAGCCGGTCAAGAGGAAACGGTCCCAGATGCGGCGGACCAGCGTCTGCGCGAGGTCGCTCGCGAAGAGGGTCAGGAACCACTGCACCGCGTAGTACTCGGCGGTGACGCCGTGCCTCTGCAGTCCGCCGTGCACGCGTGGAATGAAGCACTCCACCAAGCGATCGAACTGCCAAGTGGTGACGCCGAGCTTCGGGAAGCGGGGCCTGTAGAAGTCGGCCAGCGAGTACCGGAACAGCAGCGCCTGGGCACAGTGGAAGACCAGAGCCTCGTCGTCGGGGAACACGCCGATCAAGGTCGCGACCACAAAATTGAGGCTCTGCACGTAGCCGATGTCCGACAGGTGCAGCGCCAGCGCGTGCAGAACGCGGAAGAGCGCGCTCTGGCCCTTGCCGGCCCTGTCCCGGAAGAGGGCCTCCTTGGGGGAAGGATCGACCGCATGCGGCAGGTTCGTGGTGTCGTGCCGACTTCGACGCTGGTTTCTGACACCGCGGGGATCGTTCAACTTGAACGATCGGCCATTTCCGACAAGTCAGATCGTTGAACATCTATCGATTCTGGGTCGCCGGCGGCGTGCAGCGTTGAACGCCGGCGGCGGGGTCACCGCCGGTCGACACGACGCGAACCGACCTAGACATAGACTTTCGGAACTCCGCGTGGATTTCTCGGATCGGCCCTTGACCCCCTCCCTGGCGCGCGGAGCGCCCCAGGGGCGGCGCCAAAGGCCCAGCGAATGTCAGAAATGTGGCAAATCTCTTGTGTTTTTGGACCCTGACCCCGCCGATCCGCGTGAGGGGTGCAGCGAATGTCAGAACTGTGGCAAATCTCTTATGTTTTTGGACCCTGGCCCCGCCGATCTGCGTGCGGGGTGGCACAACGCCGATCCAAGAAATCCACACCGAAAGTCATGTTCATGCTTTATGCAGGTGGTGTGTCTCTTGGACTCCTGGGGCAACGTGCGCCCGAGGTCGCGCCGGATCACGTCGTCGTACGAGGATGGCGCCTGTGGCGGCCTCCCCCTCATGTGGTCCGGGCAGACGGCGTCGGAAGATCGCGCCGCATCGCCAATGCATCGGCGCCGTCGGCGTGGAGAACATCGGGCTATACATGGAGAGCCGCACGGTCGATGCATCGGCGACGCAGCACGATGCTCCGACCCCATCTGCTGGACCTCCCTCGGGAGGCCTGGAGTGGTTCCTGGGGCATAGCTCGGGCCTCCGGCGGCCGTTCGGGGCGATTCTGGCACCGCCAGCTCTCGACGAGGCGCAGCTGCTGGAGAGCACCCCAGGGCTTTAAAAGCCCCAGCTGACGAGCGCGTTCTCCACTACTTGCAGAGAAGCTACTCGCAAATGGCCCGGATCCCCCGCGGAGGGGATCTACGATACATGACGTCGAAGCAGACAGGTGTTTTTTTTCTGACGTTTGCGAGTACTCCAGATTTCGTAATAAAAGGGAGGGGGTCACAACCCTCCCAGACGAGAAGTTTTAGACCCCCCCAGACCATCCATGAAAGGGCGGCCCTTTGCCCAGACCCCCTCGAACCCTTCAAGACAGCTCAAATCAGACCCCCCCGCCAAATGTGACCCCCCCTACTTTATTATGGAATCCGGAGTAGGCACTCTGCGAGTAGCGGAACGCGCTCGGCGATCCAGGAGCACGCGGGAACCTCCGGACGCACCGGCCCGACGGTGGCAGAGCGCTGGCACGCAGCACGCCTATACACCGAGCAGGGGAGAGGCGAACCAAGGGGCGCCGTGGGGCGCGCGCCTCGCGGGGACGGCGGCGGGCGAAGCGGGAGGAGCGGACCGCACCGAAGCGGGTCCGCCTGCCTCCCGGAGAGCGAAGCCGGGTCGGCAGGGAACTCGGCAGAGGTATCGGCGGACACATCGGAGCGGCAGGAGTCGGAAGCCCTTCCACAAGCACTTGCCGTCCGACCCCAGGATTAGGTCGGGCATGTCCCCTACAGGGGGATCTTGGGCGACAAATTAAAAATACCCTAGAATTGCACCCACAATGGTCAAACAATCCCCTGACTATTTTTTGGGACTATTTTTGAATACTCCGCCTGTCGAGGGACAGGCCCTACTTTAACTCCAGGAACACACGGAAACTCCTGAAACCCTTCCACCAAAAACTCGCCCTCCGACCCCGCCTGCACTCGCCCCCCCCCTTGTAGCAACAGAGGCCCGGCGCCTGGCCCAGGCCGTGGTACGCGTCCTGCACGGCCCGGGACTGCACGCCGAGGCCGCCCACGAGGATCGCCCTCCACGCGTCCGCCCGCCGCTCCGGGTCCAGGTCCGTCCGCCACATCTCGGAGCAGGGCCCGCCGAGACGAGTCGGGGGTCTGCATGCTGGCCCGGGGCCAGTCCAGGCCCGGGCCAGCCAGGCCCTGCCGAATCCTGCAAGATCCTGCACCCAAGCCCGGGTCAGCGCGAAGGATCTGCAGGAACCTTCAAGATTCGGCACCCCAGCCCGGGTCAATGCGCCTCCGGCCCTGCAGGATCCTGCAAGATCGGGCGCTCTGGCCGACCCCCGTTGGCACTGACCCGCGTCTCTCAAGGTTCCCGCCGCGGCGAGGGCGGCTCTCTCCCGCCGGGCCCCACGCTCGGGAGCTTCTGCTTGCAGGCAAGACCGATCGAGTAAGGATGCGGGCCCCCCGCGGGCGCGCTGGCCGGAGCTCTTCGGGAGGGGCCGGCCGTCGCAAGGGGTCAGGGGACGGGCCGAGGAGGCAAGGATGCAAGGGTACAGTTCGGTCGGGCGTGTCCCCTACAGGCGGATTCGGGGTGAAGAATAAAGATGCCCCCCCAAATGCCCCTAAATGCTCAAAACGTAATCCAAAAATCGCCCCACAACTATTTTTTTTTTTACCTATTTTCGAAGATTCCTCCTGTGGAGGGACAGGCCCGACTGAAGGGCACCCTCGGGAGGGTGCCCAGTGTCGGGTGTCCTACCGGTCTCGACTGCAGGTGTCGTGGCGGCGGCCCCGGCGACGCGCTCTGGCTTGCGAGGAGTGATGGCGTGTCGCTCCGCTCCGCGTGGCGGGGCCCCGGGGAGGAGATCGGGAAATTGACGCCCGGGGGGGTCGCGCCTGGGCGGCTCACCCCCGCCTGGCACAGAACCGGTCTCGAGGTCGCCCTAATCCTCCTCCTCCTCCTCCTCCTCCTTCTCCTCCTCCTCCTCCTCCTCCTCCTCCTCCTCCTCCCCCGCCTGGCACGAAACCGGTCTCAAGGTCGCCCTGACCCTGACCTTCCACGAGGGCTCAAACATAGCACCAGGACCTTGGCGTCTCAATTCCTGTCGAGGTTTTAGGCAGTGCAGATAAGTATAATAGGTCTGGAAGGCTATTCTTTAGCACTCTGGAAGGTCAGGGAACTGCGGACCCGCCGCAGTCTGGTTGGGCTTCCGACCTGCACAAGTGTGTCGGACATGCACCCCGCAGGATGCGAGCAAGTTGGCCCAGAGCTCCGCTCAGAGTTGGTCCCCAGACCGTTCCCGCAGGGTCCGTCCTGCCCAGATCATTGGATGCAACGCTTTCGCTCGCGATTGGTAGCGACCGATCGGCACTCCACAGCGGTCGCGGCCCATCGCGACCCTTTCCGAAACAAGCCAAACTCGGTGACGAGCGATTTGGGAGCAAATCGGTCGCAACCCATACCCGAAATCGAAGCAGGTTCGGCAGCGGCTGATCTCGTCGGTCGCGACCAGAAAGATATACGGCATCCACTGATCAGGGTGGCCCTTACCAGCCTGGAACAGATCCCTATCCCTATGCTGGGCACCTCCTCATCACGATGCCAACCTTAGGGATTCCCTGATCTTTTGATGGCGAATCCCTAAGATTGTCATCGCCTGGTGGCGTGTCAATCTTAGGGATAAGGATACGTTCGAGACTAGTAAGGCCCGTCTCTCCAGGCCGGATCCAGCCGCGGCGACGAGAGGCCCCGGGGGAGGCCCACCACGGGCGGGAGAGACCACAGGAGGAGCCCCGGGGAGGCCCAAGACGAGGAGACCTGGGGAGGCGAACACAGGCCAGGGGTAGCGGCAGACAACAACTGCATCACAACCGCAAGCTCTCGGAGCTCCGCGCGGACTTCTTGGATCGGGGCCTGGCCCGCCTCCCTGGCGCGCCGAGCGCGCCAGGGGCGGCGCCAGAGGCTCCGAAAGCTGTGTGTTTCAATGTGTTTTCTGCAGCTTGTTCCCGAACGTATGTTTATGCAGTGAGCTGTGTTGTTGTTACTGCTGCTGCTGTTGTTGTGCTGCTGTTGTGATAGTTGTTGTTATTGTTACTGTTGTTGTTGCTGGTGCTGTTGATGTTGTTGTTGTGTTGTTGTTGTTGTTGTTGCTGATACTGCTGTTGTTGGTGACGATGATGATGTTGTTGTTGAGGTTGTTGTTGGTGATGTTGTTAATGCTGTTGTTGTTGCTGTTGTTGTTGGTGTTGTTGTTGTTGATGATTGTATTGCTGTTGGTGGCTATTACGGTTGTCGTTATCGTTGTCGTTGTCGTTGTTCGTGTTGCTGTTGCTGTTGTTGCTGTTGCTGTTGCTGCTGCTGTTGCTGTGCTCGCTGCTGCTGCTGCTGTTGTTGTTGCTGTCGGTTCTTCCTTCTTCTTCCTCTTCGTCTTCTTCTTCTTCTTCGTCTTCTTCGGCTCCAGGAGGCCCCACACGGGGCAAAGGCGCCGCGCGGCAAGGCCGCCGCTGCCTCGACCGGCCCTCCTCCGCCCCTCGCCGCCGCCTCCGCCCCGCGCCCCCACAGCTGCCTGCGGGGGGCAGCGATCGGCGGGGGGCACTGGCCTAGGCTTAGGTCGGGCATGCCCCCCCCTACAGGCGGATTCTGGACGACAAATAAAAAAATAGTCCAAAGATACCCCCGAAACAAAAGACTCTGACATAGTCCAAACATCGTCCTCCGACGATTCTTTCACTATTTTTGAACATCGTCCTCCGACGATTCTTTCACTAGGCTTAGGTCGGGCATGCCCCCCTGCAGGCGGACTTGGGACGACAAATAAAAAAAATACTCCAAAGAAGCTCTCCCCCCAACAAAAACTCAAGCATAGTCCAAACATCGTCCTCCGACGATTTTTCACTATTTTTGGATATCCCCCCTGCAGAGGGACAGGCCCGACCTAAGCATAGGGGGGGGTGCATCGACCTGGAATCGGCGGTGCATCGCCGATCGATCGGCGACGGGCCTCTGAGGGTGACTCCGCACCTCCCCGGGCAGCTCCGGGGCTGTCGGGCCCCCTCTCGGCGATCCATGGGCGATTGGGGGTCCATGCGTCCCCCCCCCTACGCCTATCCCCCTATGCCTATCCCCCCCCCTGTGCCTATCCCCCCTATGCCTATCCTTCCCCCCCCCCTATGCCTATCCCCCCCCTATGCCTATCCCCCCCCTATGCCTATCCCCCCCTATGCGATTGGGGGTCGATGCGTCCCCCCCCCCCCCCCCCCTACGCCTATCCCCCCCCCTTATCGTTGCCCCCACAGCTGCCGCCACGCGCGGCTCGCGCAGGCGGCCTCGCGCCCGCACGGCCGCGCCAGCCACGGCCGCAGCCGCTCGGCCGCCGCCGCCGGCGTGTGGCTCCAGGGGGCCGCCCCGCGCGCGCGCGCCATGGGGGGCCCGCTGCCGTGCGCGCCGCGGCGGCTGCCCCGAGAGGCGACCGTCCCAGGCGCCCCTGGCGCTGCGAACAAAAACACGACGGGAGGCCTTTCGCTGCTTTCCGCCGCTGGGGGGCCCCCACCCGGTCGCTATTTTCGGCCGCCTGGGGGCCCTCGCCGGGCCCCGGGGCCGTCGAAAACTGTCAGGACGAGGAGCCTGTCCGCCCCCCGATTTCGGAAGAATCCTTGCCTTTTCTCCGTGAGTCCTCCGCCTTCAACCTATGCATGCATATTTCTCCAGTGCGTGTTTTTTTCTCCTCATGCCAGCCATTCTGGGCCGTTCTGTGTTAGCCACCCTTCTACGATGAACCACTCCATGGGCTGATTGGTCCAGGGCGGTGTCAATACACTGGTGCCACCTCTGGCAGCGCCCCTGGGGCGCTCAGCGCCCGAGGGTTGGGGTGCTGAGATCGCCCAGGACTACTCGGGGGGCCTTTTGAGGCCAGCTGGGACTTCCTGAGGGGGCTGTCTGCACGCAACCCGAAGCCACAATAATGCATCGGGCACCGCGGCCGTCCCAGAGCGCTCCGCAGCGCTCCGAGAGCGTTCCGCAACGCGCTGGAGCGATTTTCCGCCCGAGATGTGGGGCCTGGCGGCATCGAGCGCGTCGCCAGAATGGGCTCTTTCGAGGGTAGCTTGCTTCTTTGATTGCAGCCAGGAGCTTTTGCTTAGCGTGTCGCGGCGGCGGCCCTTGGCGACACGCTGTGCCATGCAAGCGGACAGCATGTCGCTCCGCTCCGCGGGGCGGGAGACTTCGAAAGACTCGGGACGCTGACGCCTGGTGACCAGGACGTGATTAGCGTATCGCGACGAAGCGTGGAAGGCCAGAACCGGCGGCCCGACATGCTAAGCAAACATCTCGCACCGTACATATCATGATTGGGCCCCATCTATCCGCTTTGGCGTTCTCGCCTCGGCGCCGGCTACTTTTCTCTGAAAGCGAGGCTCACGCTCGAGCGTTTCGGGGGTCTTCCGATACTGGCCTCCCAACAAACAACAAGACTCCCGTTCGATACCTCTTCGCTTTTACTCAAGACTGGCGCTCCTGCTCGCCGCTGGAAGCCGGCCCTCCAACAAAACTCACGCCCCCGTCCATGACTTCCTTGCTGTAAAAAAGTAAAGAGAGGAACTCTCGCCTCGGCGCTGAAACTAAGCCTCCCCTACAAGCCAGCAACAACGCTTCTGCTCTGCACATCATTAGTTTAGTGATGACTGGTGCCCTTGCCTCGCCATCGAGAACCGGCCCCTCAGCAAAAACTGCGCTCACGCTGGAGACGTCCTCGATTCTTGCTCAGGATTGGCTGTCTCGCCTCGGCGCTTGAACCTCCATCTCAAGCCAGCAGCAGCTCTCTCGCTCGGTCCTTCTTGTTTTCATTGAAGAGCGTGTCCTTCTTCTCTCGTCGTCAAGAGTCTGCCTTCCAGCAACAGCGACGCTCCCGCTCGATACCTCGTCACTCTTTACTCAGGAGTGGCGCTCCAGCTTCGGCGCTGAAAGCAGCTCCCCAAACTAGCAGCAGCGCTCCCGCTTGATGCCTGTTAGCTTTCTACTCGCAAATGGGACCCTCGCCCTACCACCCCAACCGAGCCCCCCAACATCAATAGCGCTTTCGCCTCACGGCTAAACTAGCGCCCCCCCCCCCCCCACAACATGTTTCCTGTTCGATACTTCCTCACTTATTCAGGAGTGGCGCTTTCGCATTGGCGCTCGGGCCCCCAACAACGGCAATACCGCTCCCGATCGATATTTCCGAGGCCTTCTACTCAGGCATGGCGCTCTCGTCTCGGCGTCGCCTCTGGGCGGCTTCGTGGCGTCCCCTGAAACAGCAAAAAAAATCCAGTAGAGGCTCCAGCATGTCCCGAAGAGTCACACAAACACTCGAGAACGTTTTTTCATTTTCCGCGATAACGGCCGTTACCAGCCCTGGCCGCCCCTCATCGCCCCTGCTCCCCCCTCAGGCAACGTCACGATTCGTGCTGACCTCCGAATTGGCTTTGGTTATTTGTAAACATTTCCAGGCGGCGCCCGCGC